ATCTGTAAATTCAAAGGTCTGGGGTAAAATAAAGGGCAACACAGGAGATCCATACAGGAATTATAAATGAATGGATATGAAACAGTAGTGATAATGCCTTCAATTTAAAATGGAATACACAGGAATGATAGCAATATAAGGAGTAAGAATAAAATGTTTTCTAAGAACCATGCAGTATCCAAGAAGCAGAAAAGCGACTAAATATTATACTCTAACACTGCAACATCAGTTAGGGAAAAGAGAAGTAAAAGGCTGTTAGGACTCCCAAGCTAACAAAAGGCTTGGGATGACAGAAGACAGAAAAGAATCAATTAAAAAGATGGTAAGAGAGAAGAAATCTAAAACAGGTTATTAAAAAAAAAATGTAAAGTCTAACAAAGAAAAAAAAAGTTAAAATAGATTTTATTTTTATGTATTTGTATGTGCGTGCCTATATGAGTGTATATACACGTGTGTGGGTGCCCATGGTGGCCAAAGGACATCAGATCCCCTTGGAGCTGGAGTTACAGGGGGTTGTTAGCCACCTGACATGGGTGCTAGCAACCAAACTTGGGTCCTCTAGAAAAGCAGCAAGGGCTCTTATCCCTAAACCATCTCTCCAGCTCCTGTATTTATCATTATTTTTCAAGTCATCTCTCCAGGCCCCCCAAATAATTTTTTTAAAAACAGCTATATGTATATTTATTCAAAGACAAAGAAGGGAAACAAAAAGATAGAAAAGGACATGGTGCAAACATTAAGCTCAAGAATCTAGAAGTTACACTGTAACAGAATAAAAGAAATTTGAGGTACAAAGTATCACCAAAGATAAAAAGCCTCTTGAAATGAGAAGTGACAACTGAAAATGAAAAATTCGATTCTGACTGTGAGGCGCCTAACCATATGGCCTCAAACAGTGAAGAAGGAAATCTTCAGCCCATCCACTCATAGATCACTGAAATCAGTAGAAACCAGAAAGCAAAGCAGCAGCAAAGGCACAACTCAGAAACATTCCTCAAGAAAAACAACACAAAGCACAGGAGAACACACACAGCATGACTCCATGAAGGACAAGGCACCCCTCATACTAGTCAGTCCAGCGAACCGAGCCTGAACTTCAACAAGGGACTGCGTACTGATCTTAGCCAAAGGCTGAGAAGCAATTCCAACTCTGTCAGCTGTCAGTGTTCCTCCTCATTGGGCTTTAGATATATTTTCAGTATATGCTATTATTTCATAATGCAGTAATCTATAATCAAGCAGAAACTCAGAACATTAAAAATGGAAGAGTTTAAACAACAGCCGTACTTCGTGTTTGTGAGGGCATATAAAAAGCATCCTCCACTGTAACAAGGAACCTAATTGGTAAAATCTCTTTGGAAGGATATTGTTCAAGAAGGTATCAAAACCCCAGCAACTTTACTGTTAAGTCTATCTCACAGAGATGCTTATGTACAACGGTTAAAGTAAAACAGCTTCATCATTTTTGATAGTAATGAACTAAAACCACCACCAAGAAACAGTAACATGCATGACCATACTGAAGAGAATGCAGGAAAATGGAGGACTTGCCACCTAAGGGCTATAACCCTAGGTCTGCACCATCATGTCCAGTTTTTGTGGTGTTGGGGGGTGAACCCAGAGCTAAGGTACACCACGCAAGCATTCTACCAACTAAGTCACATCCCTAGCTCTGGGTCACATTTTTTTTTTTTTTTAATGTCTATGAGTGTCTTGCTGCATGTAATTAAAGTGCACCATATTCATGCAATGCCCACAGAGGGCGCCAAATCCTCTGGAACCGAACCAAACTTGGGTCCTCTCCCAGAGCAGCAAATGCTCCTGATCTCTGAACTATCTCTCTAGCCTTCATGTTCTAACACAGAAAGACCTTGCGCTGTAATTTCCCAGTTACCCCAATAGTAACATCTCAAAAAACGATACTGCAGCATGATGAGGAACAGAGTGTGACCTTGATATAACCCATCATATCTCAGACTTCCAGGCCCATATGCAAATATATGTTGGGTTTATCACTCATGTACGTGTCTGTAGTTATCAACACAGCAAAGACACGTGATTCCATCACCTCAAGGACCTTCAGTTTTTATAAGCACCTCCACGACCCTTGGTAATCCTTGGTAATCTGAGTCATTTCAGGAATACTACAGACACAGAATAACTTGCCATCGAACCTTTGGGAACTGCTCTGTCACTCAGCAGAGCTCCCTAGTCAGTCATTGATCCAGACTGCAAGGAAACTGATGAGTGGAGTTGTAGGTATGGCCACACCAGTCTGGCTAACCTGGTGCTGAAAACCACAGGGACTGCTACAGTTCTTAGCTCATAAGTCCTTACTGGGGATAACTGCCCAGGAGGACAAGTGTTGAATTTTATGGCTACACATTTGATGTAAGAACCTGACTTCTGGGGCTGGAGAGATATCTCAGTGGTTAAGAGTCCTGGCTGTTCTTGCAGAGGACCTGGGTTTAGTTCCCAGAACCCACATGGCAGCTAACAACCATCTGTAACTTCAGTTCTGGGGGTTCCAATCCCCTCTTCTGACCACTGCAGGCATTGCATTCATATACATAAAACAAAAATAAATTAAAAAAATTTTTTTTTTTAAAGAACCTGAGTTTCCGAGCATGGTGGTGCACACCTTTAGTCCCAGCACTCAGGAGGCAGAGGCAGGTGGATCTCTATGAGTTCGAGGACAGCCTGGTCTCCATAGCAAATCCAGGGCTACAGGGAGACCCTGTCTCATAAAAAAAAAAAAAAAAAAAAAAGAACCTGACTACCATGAGGTTTTCTATGACCTCCAGCACTCCAGCAGCCCATCCCAGACCCAGATTCTCTGCTCCAGCATTTGGTATGTTCCCAAAGGTTTCTTTTTAGCCAGTTTAAGTAGCTGTGTGATACTGATAAGATTACATTTACATGACTTTATTTTTTTTGAGACAGGGTCTCACAATGTAGCCTGAGGGGGCCTGGAACTTACTATGTAGACCAAGCTAGCCTCGAACTCAGAAATCTACCTGCTTCTGCCTCTTGGGTTCTAGGATTAAAGGTCTGTGCCACCACTCCCAACTAAATCTACATGACATTTAAGTTTAAAAACAATCCATGTTCATTAGTAGGAAAATGAAAAACACATCAAAGTATAAAGGAAATAATGCCCTATTTCCTTTAATGCTGGAGGATTTAAAAAAAAAAAAAAAAAAGGCCATGCTGCTTTCTTCTTTCTTCAATGTATTCAAGCAGCAACATGGCAGCCTCTACTGCTGTACCCTGACCCGGAGGTTCCCCTTTGGGATACCCCCACCCTAAGGAAGCTAAGCTCTACTCTACACTTCAACCCATATAGTCCTAGCCTTCCCAGGTTTACCTTAGGCTCTGTAGACCTCCTCAAACACTCTCTCTGCTCAAGCCTACAACAGGTCTTTACCAGAGAAGAAAGTCACCAGGATGAGACAGACCAGTCAGCCCAGGGCCACCAAATACTTGGGCCTGCCTCTGGAGGCCTTTGTGTAGCCAGGGCAGAACAGAGCCAAGGGAAAACCCCTCAGGCCCTACACTGCCCCAGCCCATGTGAGGAAAGCTACAGCTAGTCTGCTCTTAGATCTTCATATTCTTGGCTGTCACTGCTGTGGATGATAGTAAGAATACAGAAACACCGAGGAAAAAGAACTTAAGGAGCACACACCAACAGCCCAACTCACCTTAGTTAATGCGAAGGCCACTGTCCCATCATCCTCAGTGGACAGATCAAGCAGCTTCTGGTAAAATACTTCATCATAAGGCCCATCTATTTGTAATGTTTTCCTGAAGGGAGAAGCATCAACACCAAACAAACAAACAAACAAAAAAAAAAGGATGACAAAGCTGCCTGGAAACCTTTTCTTAAACTGTTAGCATGTTCCATGTCACAGAACACAATTTAACAACCCTGTTTTGTTTTAAAAGTCATCTAATAGACCTACTGCTCCTCTCATCAAACTTGATTTTTCAGCATCAAGGTCTTTAATAGAACCCAGCAAGACCAGGGCTCAGGGAGCTCTGAGGCCAGGCCCTCAGCTAGTCACCATAGTCTTAAGGAAAAGCTAGTAAAGTATAAAGAGGATCCAGTCCATGATACAGACTGAGGGCCCTAGGCTTACCAAACAGAAAAGCTCAGGAGTTGCCAGGCTGGTATTCCCAGAACAGCCTGTGGGACAACACTGCCCTCTACAGGCCAGGCCCTGGCATGCAACTTCTGGAATGGTCATGTTCATAGGTGCTTTATTTTCTAGAAATGCCTCAATGACCACTAATCTCATATAAATCCTAGTACCCCTTCAAGGACTACCTAGGGCGACTTGGCTATATGGTCCTACTGGAGCCAGGTACTGAGACACTTGTCTGTCCTGGAATTCAGGCAACCTTGATCACAGCCTCCCCTGTTATCAGCCTCACCTCTCCTCAGGAAACTCCTCCAGGTATCGCTCAACCCGGTTGTACAGAGGGTAAAGGCCTTCGATGTCCAGCAGGTCCAACATCTGCACCTGGAGGGTTTTGTACAGAAGACAGCCCTTCGGTAACCCCGAGTGCTCTGGGGTGTTTTTTCCTACCAAGAATATCAGGGAAGAACGAGAGCAGGTTTATTATCAAAGACTGAAGACTGTGGAGGGAGACCCAGGCCGGCGCAGACAGCAGAGCTCACCCTAGGCTTAATCACTGGACAATACAGACAAGACCTGGGCCCCGGCCTAGCACTGAGAGCAGATGCTGCAACCTCCTCACAGAGCTTTGAAGCTGACTGAGTACAGACCACCCTGAGTGTAACAGGCCATGCATATCAAAAAGGCTGTTGCTTCAGGCCTGTGATCTCTAAACACCTCTACTCAGAATGTCCTGTAACTTCATCACATGCTCTAGAAGTCACTTTATAGTTAAGCTCAGAGATAATCCTAATTCTACATGAGACGATGCCTGTAACTGCAAAAGCTCACACTGATCCTCAACCTTCAAGACTGGGACCCTGTCTCCACAATCAAGAGCCATGAGCCCACAATGAGAGGGCCAAGTCCTGGCTCCCATAGAAGGAGCTAAACATGCAGAGCCATGGACAGTAAGACCACTGACAAGGTCCGGTTCTCACAGGGACAGACAAGGAAGCAAATCGCTCCATCCTACACTCATGTACTGACAATGATGTATAGAGCCCCACCTCAACCTGAGAGACACCACAGCTCAGAACATTTCCCAGAAAACCAACTTCAAGCAAAAACAGGATGGAACAATGTGCACTCAGGCACCCAGCAAGATGCACTTAGCCACACAACAGATGCCTATGTCAAAATAACAGGACACCCGTGCAGTGAATGCCTACCACATAGTAGATAAAAGATGAAAAATGCATTTGCTGATAGATTTATGCTACTTAAGAAAAAACACCAGGTTACAAAATAGCATGAATATATTTTAAATACTGCTCATCCAAGAGTTAGGCCCTCTTGCACATCAGTGTTAGGAAGGTCTGGAGTCCCCAGATCACCTAGAGTCAGTAGGCATCTGTGTCCTTCCAGACACATTCTACAGCAATGTGCCAAAACTATGGGTTTGGTTTTAGCTAAATTTTTTGAAGGAATAATTACTTTCATAACAAGAACCCCATAAAAGTCACTTGTGTTTAAAAAACCCTTGGCATGGGGAGGTAACAAGGAAGACTAGGCCAGTGGGGAGCGTCTGAAGTCTGTAAGCTATTGTCAAATTCCTCAGGGGTCTCTATGGTCCGCTAGAGTCGCACTTTACCCTGACTTATGAGAAATCACAACACACTGCAGTATCAGGGCTGGTCCACTTCTTTTCTGTCTATAAGGAAGGTGACCTGGACCCAGAAGCCCTGCAAGCCTGCCCTCTCTCCACAGTGCCCAGCTTAGCTACAAAGGACTCCTGGTCAAGGAGAATCTGCACTCAGGGTCATGATTAGGATCGAGAGGAAGAACAAAGTTGAAAGCATTCCACTAACTACAGAGGATGCACAAACATATGGGCAGTATTCTGGAACCCACATAGCCCAAGTGTGTCAAGCAATTTACAAACCCAGCTAAAAGGTGTAAAAGCAAGTCTGTACGAGACAGCAAAGGCTTATTGTGTGGAACCCTGACAGAACCAGGTAGCACCACCAAGAAGCACCATGAAGCCAAGTAGGTAGATGCCACCCTGACTACTCATGAAAATGGACAGTCCCAAAGAACCTGCAGGCCCCATAACCCACTTGGGAAGGCCAGGTCCTACCTTGGTGGTGTAGACTCCTGCTGAAAGGGCTGGCTTCACAGACACGGGGGCCCTGGAGCCCAAGTCTCAGGGCACCCACTCGGCCTTTGTCCGGGCTGCTCAGCAGCACCCTGGTGATAACCCGAACCAGCTCCCGGATCACAGCCTTTGTGCAGTGGGATCCACTGGACAGGCCATTGGAAGGGAAGAAGAAGGGCTTCAGGTGGTGTGCAAGCTCTTTCCAGTCCGCTACAGGGCTCCGGGCATCACCACAACCGTAAATAAGCTCACCGTTCTTCAGGTAGGAAAAAGAAGAGAGGGAGAGGGATCACACAAACTGACAGGAAAGTAAGCTGGGGCAGGGACATAAACAGAGGATCCCAGCATTTTAGATAAGCGTAATCAGAGTTGCTATACACTCAGGCCTCTCTGAGAAAGTCACTCTCAAGTGCTGTGTCACTATCCACGAATCGAAGGAAGAAAAGACCCAAAAACTCCAGGCTAGCAACTAGACAGACATCTTCAGATAATGATCATACAACATGTAAACGCTCAAAATAAAGCCACAAATATCCCCAAGTCGCCATTACTTGAGGGTCCAAGCAGTGACTGAGGGTTAGGACAAGGCCCAAGGTGACCCCAGCCTCAGAGCCAAGCTGGTGGAATTGGCTAGGTCACCAACAAGGATACCTTCATGTTCATGACTGTCCTGCCTTCTTCATAGAATCCAGCAAAGAAGCTCCTTATGGCTCAGCATTCAGATTTGGACACTCCCAGAACTAAAGCAGGGACATGTGTTGCTCACTGCACAACACTGGGTCAAGGCCCTAGCCTCTGGACAACTCCAGGAGCATCTGAATCTTATACCTTCACCTGTTAAGAGCATGTGGTAGGTACTCTAGAATCACCCTCAGAATTCCCACCCTTAGAGTCCTCTCCACGTGGGGTCTGGTCAGTATGAACAATTGAATATAGGCAAGGACAATATCATGATACCTGCAAGGGTCTTTCCAAAGGTGCCACAGAGAGGCCCAGGAGCTGTGGCAAGAGGTGGAAACGAAGGACACCATCTGACCAAGCCTTCAGATAAAAACCTTGAGCCACAACCAGCTAAGCTGCCCCTGAACTCATGGCCTCTGAGACACTGAGGCAATGAAGCATGTGTGAAGCTAAGGTCTGGGAGGAACAGTAGCCAAGAAAGGACAGTCCCTGCCCTTGAGGGGTGTGGGCCTCTCTCGAGGCCTGTCTGGGTGCTGTCCAAGCCCACAGGATAACAAGGACATATAAGAAACTGCAGATCATGCTGGGCAGGAGAAAAAGGAGGGTGACAACAGTGGGACCCAAGTGGTCAGCTGAGGTCCAGGCAGAGCCACTTATGCCTGTACTGAATCTGCATCCCCCCCAAACCCCAGCAGGCCTAAAGGTAGCTAAGAAGTCCTCACAATGGGGTCTTGTTCCAGCATCAGGGATCCAGACTTAAAGGACAGTGTTAAGTGTGGATCCGGAGACAGCAGTTACACATACAAATACGGCTATTCAAGGACTTCATGGGGATTCAATAGAGCCCTCAAACTAGGTAAGGTACTGGTTCTGTAACAAAGTTCACTCTCCTTGAGCTCCCAACAATAGCCCTCACCACAAGCATCCAGTGTGTGATCACTGACCACAAACAGTGCAGTTTCTTCATACCTAGTCCATCAGAGCTTTGGGAGTTTTCTGCTTTGCTGGGTTTGACTGCAGAACTCAAAGGGATTGCAAAGGCACAGCACTGGAACCAGAGTAGCACAAGCAGCCAGTGTTATGCCATACATAACTCTCTGCACTACTATCCTATTGTTTTAAAAGGCCATTGCAGAGCCTACAAGACAGCTCAGTGAGGTTAGGGTGCTTGCCACCAAGCCTGACAACCCGAGTTTCAGCTCCAGGACCCACATGGTGGAAGGAGAGAACTGATCCCTGCCAAGTTGTCCTCTGACCTTTACATACACACATAGGCAATGGCATGAGTGTGCACACACGCACACACACACCAGAGAGGCAATAATTTTTTTTTTTTTGACTTATAAGTCATTCCAGATCACTTCTCTTAATCTAACTCTTTGGAAATGATTGGCTAATCCTCTGGGTTCTTCCATGATGATTTTTACAGGAGCAACAGATAGCAAGATGTCTAGACTCCTCAAATATGGACTGATGGTTTCAGAAATGGTTTTCAAATATCCAAGTGAAAGGCATTTATCTCCAGGACTTAATTATGTTTGATCATTGAGCCTGTGGCAAGGATCAGAATGTGGCAGGTTTACCTGGGAACCACCATGGAATGAGAGCAGCCCTTACCTTAAATATCCTCAGGTTGTTTTGTGCCTCCTGCAGCATACTCTTCAAGGCAAAGTGCATGCGCTGTTTGTTTCTAAAAGGACAAAGCATTGACAGACTTTAAAGGCAGTGGAAATGGTCCTGGTCTACACATACGCACACCCCTACACATGGCTCCAAATTGAGCTGAAAACCCAGAACTGCCTGAGTCTAGTAATTCACTGCCTCACTACAGCCCAGAACATGAGGATAGCAGTAACAAGGAATCTCTCTGAGACAGAGGGACCAGAAAGGCCAAGTCCGACTAACTTCTTAAAGCTCATCCAGCACAGTACTTACTCTTAGGCTGTGATTCCAAAGGCTGGAGCAGGCACTTGGGCAACATAAACCCTATGATAAATCACTGGGGCGTGCAAGGGGGCTAAAAGAAGCAGGAACCCTGGAAGCCCTCACCCTCCATCTTGGGGAGCTCTGGGCCTGCCCCACCTCTGCCCTCTGCCCAGCTGGCATGTGCTGTCTCTTCCCCCACTGCCACTTACTGCCAGTCCCCTTCCTCCATACCCAGGTGCCCCATCAGTCATTAAGCATGCCCCACACTCTCACTCCCATGTGAAATCTGCAGGACACCACCTGGAAGCAAACCAGGTGAGGGTTCCAAGTCCTGTCCTGAGGTTACCACTGGAGACAGCGGGACAGCACACCAGCACCAATACCTACAGCCAGCTCTGAAAAAGTTGCTATATGGACATTCCAAAAACAGCTACTGATTCTTCTTTGACAAGTTTCAAATTCTCAACAATGACTTTTATTACTATCTGCTTTAAAACATACAGCTTTGGCACTCATAAATAATTCCCAAATAAACACCATGACACCTGATTCAGTTCTCACATGAGAAATGACATTACAAAATAAATTCCACCATCAATACTGCAGATAATATGTACCACCAACTCACAAAGTATACCCTGCCTTCCCTACTATGTACAATACCCCACTCCTCATCTCACACAGCAGCTCCCAAGTCCTCCCTCACAGAATGTCCCAATCGCACCAAATATGTCCCACTATCCTCACTTCACAGAACCTTTCTCCAGTTCACACACACACACACACACACACACACACACACACACACACCATCATTACTTCACAAAATAACCCTGAACCCCATACCTCACAGAC